AGCTTCTTGGTGTGGTATTCAGGTTCTCCCCACACGTACGGATCAAAATGGTATCAGCCAGCCCCTATTCTTCTCTCAGAGGTTCTTGGTTCCTCATTCTCACACCCGGCTGTTCCATGTTCGTTCGGAGGTTTACTAGACGCGGCCTGTTCTTCCTTGGTGCACTTGCGCATCGGTGGATCAAAAAGAGGGTTGTACAACTGATCTTTGAGCACGTAGAAAGAGACATTACATTGCTCATGTAACATGGTGAGGGCTCGGTTAGGCAAGAAAACTTGCGTGCCGTCTCTGTGTATCAGCGTGAAGTTGTAAACCCACTTGTTCCTTGCCTTGCCTCCGAAGAAACCGCTCTTGTGATATGTCTATATTTTGCATCATTCAGGCTGAATTTTAGGGTCCATATCATGTGTTTTCTCATGTATATTGAGTCTTTAGGCATCAAAATAGGTTTTAGGACTTGCATTAGGTCCCAAAGAGTTTTGCATGTTTTGAAGTCTTTATCAGGTGCTTTGGAGGCTATTTGGAGCTCAAGAGGAGGATCAGGAATGAAAACGGTGAAGAAAAAGGTCAAAAATAGTGAAAACCGCTTGGAGAAATTTCTCGGCGAAAATTCGTACCGGCTGGACCGAAACATCGGCCAAAATCGCTATCGGGTGGTCGTTATCGGCTAAAAATTAGTATCGGGTGAAAATTCCATAGGGTGAAGTTTTACGCCGAGGCGAGAAGTTTTATCGGCTACAAAGCTTACCGCGGTACATGATTCTCGGACATTTTCCTTACCGCGGGAAGAATTTCTCGGCTAAAACCTATTTTCACCTGCGTGCTTCAAAGATCACCAATCCGGGGAACCTTCCAGTCCGAATCAGTTGACGGGGTCTTCATCAAATTTGGAGATAATCAAGCCAAGATCCCAGAACAATTGGAATCACGCAAGTCGGACCAGTAAGAAGAGAGATATCGCCTCCGGAAGACACGCCTGTCTCGCATGCACCCGAAAGCCGATCAGCTGAGCTTCAAAGATTACGTGGGACGAAGCCCTTCCGATTCGAACCAGTTTACAGGGCCTTCATCAATATTCAAGTTCTATGAATTCTCTTTCCGAACGCCTAAAGTCGCTCAATTCGGAGTGGTGGTTTGGAAGATACCGTCTCCAGAGTACACATCGGTCTAAAAGCTGTACTTTCCGGTCATTTCAATGCGGTGCAAAGATGAGCAATCCAGGGAGCCTTCCACTTCCCAAGCTCCGATGGTTTCTACACAAACGTTTGAGCTGAATGAGTCATCTTGACTATGGAACTGGTTTCAAAGCATTTGGAGTTGTGCGCTGAAAGTTATTGCCTCCGGAAGACAAGTTGGTCGATATGAGCCCAAATGAGTTGCGATACGCGCTAAGTATTCTCTCAAGCCTCAGCATCATTACCACGACATTGCTAAGCCGAGGCTCACCTTTTGAAAGCATTTTTGGTCTAAACCTCGTACCAACCTGATGAGGATATGCAACCTGAACCGGATCTAACCGAGCCTCAACTCCAAGATATCGAAGTTCCAACAATGCATGAAGGACCAATAACATGGGCAAGAGCTAGAATACTTCAACACAAGTATAATCAAAGCCTCCAAGCCGCAGCTAAAGAGATACCAAGAGAAGATCAAGAGCAATGCCAAGAAGAGACGGTTAACAAGGGCCATTGTCTACAAGCTTGGGCCGAGACATTTCAAGAGTTCTCATCAACCCACAACAGCCCAAAGAACCAGGACGTCTGGCCTCTTTTACCAAGTCAAGCCCAAGTTCAAGTGCTTAGCATCTCAAGAATGAATCAAGACGCTTAAAGAGGGATGTTCAAGTTCGGTCAAAGACAAGACACGCTAATCATGGTCAAAAATAAGGTAAGTCTTTCATTTCATTTGACTAACGAATTTCCTTGTCTTTGTTGTGTTGCAGCCGAGAGAATATAGTCTAGACTTTAGCTTAGTAGTTTGAATTTTCCTTTATAGTTTTCCTTGTTTATTTTCCTTTGATGTTGCACCTTTCCTTTTCAAGTCCTGTCGCATTGAGTCTTTTTTTTCTCTTGAGTCTAAGCCGCTTAGACATTATATAAGTCCCTTTACGGCCGTGTAACTTTTCAACTTTGATCATCAATAAAATCGAACTTTTCTTTCAAGCTTTTCTCAGCAAAGAAAACTTGTTAAACCTCTTTGTTCTAGTCGATACCAGTCCCTCCTAGACCAAAGATCTCTTGTGTTTTATCATAAGCCTTTCACAGTTTGTGTGGTGCACCTCATTCTTTTGTTACTTAACCGATCCTCCAGACGATTCCCTGGTTAGAGAAGCTCGACCATTGAATCAACCCTTGGCCGTTAAACCAAGCTTTGTGTTCCGAGATCATACAAGCCTTGAGACAGCCCTGAGCTTGTATCATTTTTGGTATCAGAGCTGAAGTTCCTTTCAGCCCAGGTTTTATCCTTCCGACTCTGTCTATTTCAATTCTGTTCTTCCTTGTTTTGTTTTAATTCATAGCATCATTACAAAAAAAAAAGAATTATCATATAGTTTGTCATTATCATTCAAAAATCCCAAAAGAACAATATCATCTAGCTTTCATTGCATTTAGTTTCAAGTTTTCTGTCATATCATCTCATTGTTCATCGAACTGTTTCTTATTTTCTAAGTTATTGCATCAAGAAAAGTCAAAAAAAAAAAAAATTTAGTCTTAGTTTGCTGCATCAAGTTTAGGCGTATTAGTTAACTTTCCATTTTTGCTTTCAATCACGTCCTGCATTAGTATCTCGTCTGGTCCTTTGTATTAGACAGTCAGCCTTAGTTTCCTTAATTGCGTTTCCATTATTCTTTCATCAAGTTTTTTTTTTTTAAAAAAGAGAGCATAAGTTCATTTTTATTTCGAAGTTTTCCATTTATTGTCCTTGTATCTTTAACTTTTGTTTAGGACTAAACCAATTCCTGCTTTATCTTTATTTTAGAGAAATAAACCATGGGAGAAGCGAGTAGCAATACTCAAGACGCCCTTCACCAACTGATAGCCTCCATGAGAGATGAGATCAAAGCTCTAAGACAAGACTTTGGAGACCGACTCAGCCGTGTGGAGCAAGCACCAAGGGTGACCTTGCAACCAACTCGAAATCTTGGAGGTTTGGGCACTGGTTTTACTGCTACTCAACACACCGGAGACAATTCGAGGCACAATGGGATCCGCATCAACGAGCCTAACAATACACCATTAGCTGATGATGACTCTTCTCAAGATGACGAACCAAACCACCGGCGTCCAAGGAACCGAGGCACAAGGAGACGTGTGCCGCAAGACGACTATGGAGAACAAGATGAAGACGAGTTCCACCCTTCTACGAGACCAAATCAGCATCATATCAAGCTGACCGCACCAAGTTTTGCAGGAAAAGTTGATCCCGAAGCATACCTAGATTGAGAGAAAAGGATGGATCACATCTTTGATTACTATAACCATCCAGGTCCAAAGAGAGTAGCCTTGGCGGTAGCACAACTCACAGACAACGCCCTTATCTGGTGGGACAGGGTGATATCAGACCGCAAAAGAAACCGTCTCAGAGCCAAAGACTCATGGATCGACATGAAAGATCTATTAAGACAAAGGTATGTTCCTCCTCACTTTCATAGAGACTTACAACAACATTTCCGTGGTCTTAAGCAGGGAACTAGGTCTGTGGAGGAAAATTATGAGGAGTTTGAACGGCTGAGAAACCGTTTGGAGCTCAATGATGATGAGGAAGCTCTTATGGCACAGTTCGTCGACGGTCTACAAGAGAGACTTAGCCGCAAAGTGGAGAGACAGGTCTATCAAGATTTCAAGGATCTTTTCCATTTAGCTGTTCAAGCTGAGCAACACATCAAAAAGAAAACCATGAGTGCCAGAAACCGACCTCACACTGCATGGACGTCAAACACAAACAAGCCAATAGACAAAGGCAAAGGCATAGAAGTTGATTCTCGGTTCAAAGGCAAAGCTGTTGAGACTAGCAAAGATACTAGACTAGAGCTCGGTAAGACTTCTAATCCTCAGAGATCTAGAGATTTCACTTGTTTTAAATGCAGGGGAAGGGGGCACATATCAAGAGAAGGCCCGAACCAGCGAGTGATAGAGCTGTAAATTGGTCGGGCTGACCATGGGCGTGGCCCAATTCATAGCTTTATGGTCGGACTAAACAAAGGCCCAACACAGATATGGCCCTCTTGGGCCTACACCCGACGAAACCGCGGTCCAAATCGGGTTAGACCCGATACCTTTGATTTCTTCGATTTCGTCGATCTCTCCTTCACCGATTTCTTCGATTTCGTCGACCTGGGTTTAGCAAGTTTTTTGTTGTGGGTTTTTTCGATTTCGTCGATCTCTCCTTCACCTCTCTCTCTGCGGCGAGAATCAGGTTATCAGGTAAAGTTTCTGTTTTTGTTCCCTTTTCCATCTTTCCTTCTTCTGGGCTTTTGTTCAAATGATTTCTCAATTTCTTGTTTCAGCTTGAAAGTGTTGTTTTACGAATGGATCTGTTAATGTCAGAACAGATCAATTTGTTTTAGTTTCTCTTGTGGTGATGCTTCCTCTTTCGTCAATTTGGATGAATTCGTTAGATTAGATTAGAAATGCTTATCTGCTTGGAAATGACTGGTGATTTGATTCATAGAATTGTTTCATATTATTGTTTTTGGTATGCAACATGAATCATTTTGGCTGATTGCAACATGAATTTTTTCACATTATTGCTCATCATCTGATTGCGTTCTTCCATAATTGTAGAAGAAAAGCTTTTGTGAATTTTCATTTCATACTGAAAAAGCTTTGTTCTGACAATGTCTAAGCTAGAGCCCGTTTGTTAATGCATTGCTCTAACACTGGATTAAGTTTTGTGTCTACTTTTGTTGATTTGTTTACTGTACTAAACTGTGGTATGTTCTTGTTGCTTATATGGGTTCTTACAAATCTATCTTCTTCTTGTTTTGTTGTTTCAACAGAATGGAAGATATAAGATTGAATGATGAAGACAGTTGTTTCATGGATACTGAAATGGATCATCAAGTGGTGGATGAAGATACCGAACCTCCAGAAAATTTAGAGAAAAATGAAGGTACACGAAAAACCAGAGCTCATTCTAGTCGTAGAGTATCTAAGTGCTGGAAAAAGTTTACCATAATAGGTGGTAAACTACCTGATGGAAAGTATGACGTTAGGTGCAATTATTGCAAGAAGCATTACTTTTTAGATCTTCACAGAAATGGAACCACCACTCTACTTAGGCATATGAGAGTTTGTGCTAAAACCCCTGGAAGTACCCCTAGAAGCTCTCGGAAATTGGATATGGATGTCTTCCGGGAAATGATAGCAATGGCTATTATTGAACATAACTTGCCATATTCTTTTGTTGAGTACAAAAGAATCAGAATGGCTTTCACTTATGCTAATTCTACTATTCAGTTTTGGAGTAGAAATACAGCAGCTTCTGATGTTTTAAGCATCTATGAGAAAGAGAAACAGAAGCTTAAGAAAGTCTTGTCTGATATTCCAAATAGGGTGTCTTTAACAACTGACCTTTGGAGGGCCATTACCATAGAAGGATATCTTTGTTTAACCGTTCATTACATTGATTCTCACTGGAAACTGAAGACGAAGATTCTTTCTTTCTTTGCATTTCCTCCTCCACACACAGGAATAGCTATTTCGATGAGACTGATTGAATTGCTAAAAGAATGGGGTTTAGAAAAGAAAGTCTTCTGTCTGACTGTAGATATTGCTTCTTCTAATGATTCTATGCAAAGCATTATGAAAAGGCAACTTCAGAAAGATCTAGTATGCAATGGAGAGTTCTTCCATGTCCGGTGTTCAGCACACATTCTAAATCTTATTGTGCAAGTTGGATTGTCAGTGATTGGTGAAGCTCTGCACAAGATTAGAGAGAGTGTGAAGTTTATAAAAGGGTCTGAAAGCAGAGAGATTATGTTTCAGAACTGCATGGAAACGGTTGGAATTCAAGGCAAAGAAAGTCTTGTTTTGGATGTTGCTACACGCTGGAACTCAACACATCTCATGCTAGTTAGAGCTTTAAAGTTCAAATATGCTTTAGGTAACCTTGCTGATGTAGAACCAAGTTATACAAGTTGTCCAAGTGCTTTAGAGTGGAGCAGAGCAGAACTGATAGCTGACTTCTTGAACCCATTTTCTGAAATGACGAAGCTTATTTCCGGCTCTTCATACCCGACTGCAAATTTGTACTTTATACAGGATTGGAAGATAGAAAACTGGTTGCGAGCTCATGAACTGTCTACTGATGGGATTATTTCTGATATGGTGGAAGTTATGCAAGAGAAATTTGACAAATATTGGGAAGAGTACAGTGACATACTAGCAATTGCAGCAGTTCTTGATCCAAGAATGAAATTTGCAGTGTTGGAATACTGTTACACTACTTTGGATCCAATCACCAGTAAGAACAGATTGCAACATGTAAGATCAAAGATGTATAAGCTATTCAAAGCTTATCAAAAAAACCAAAGAAACAATGTTGCTGCAGCCACTTCACAGACTTTGCCAGAAGATATTCCTGCCGGTTATAGTGTAAGTTTCTTACTGAAACTGCTGTGTTTTTAATGTGTCGAATGTTTCTAGTGACTTCTGATGATGAGTCTTATGTTTCTGCCGGTTATGATGTGTCATCTAGGTTTTCCTGTAAGCTCCTCCTTTCTTTCTTATTTCTCAATTCCTGTTTTGGTGCTGTGAGGAACTTTTTCCATCTGGGTAATTTTGTTCTTGTGAATCTCAGTTTGTATCAGGTTCCTTTTAAGCGTCTCAAAAACCTCTTTTTGAGCAATGGTTTTTGATGATGTTTCTAATGTGTCAAATTTGTTTGATTCTCAGGGATTCTATGCTTTTTTTGCTCAAAAAGCTGGTGGTAGTGGAAAGTCTGCTCTTGATATGTATTTGGATGAACCCGTTATGGATATGGTTGCACATAAAGACATGAATGTGTTAACATATTGGAGGGACAACTCTTCTCGTTTTAAGGAGCTGTCTTGTATGGCGTGTGATGTTTTGAGCATTCCAATAACAACAGTTGCCTCAGAATCCTCTTTTAGTATAGGTAGTAGAATACTTAATAAGTATAGAAGCTCTTTATTACCAACTAATGTTCAAGCCTTGGTTTGTGCAAGAAACTGGTTAAAAGGCTTTCCAATAGGTAAGTTTCTTCCTTCATCATTCTGATTTTTGATGATATATCAAATACAGTTCTTCTCTTACATCATGTTATGGTTTTAAATATTTTCAGAGGATGAGACAGAAGAGGAGAACAAAGAGGAGGTCGAAGAGGAGCAAGAAGAATCTTAAGGAAACAAGGCAGAAGAGGAGAGCAAAGAGGAGTTTGTTTATGATTGTGTTAAGTGAATTCAGTTTACATTAACGTTCATCTTTACTTTGTGTTAAGTGAACAAAGAGGAGTTTTTTTTTACTTTTGGATTCTTTGTGTTAAGTGAACAAAGAGGAGTTTTTTTTTTACTTTTGGATTCTTTGTGTTAAGTGAACAAAGAGGAGTTTTTTTTTTACTTTTGGATTCTTTTTCTACTTTTTATTATCATGCATATTATTCATCTTTACATTAACGTTCATATAGTTTTGAATCTTCTACTTATGAATTTCATTATCAGATTTCTTTTTGTCCATGGTCTTGTCCAATTGGACATGGTCCAGTTGGGCTTGGTCCTTTTTGGACTTGGTCCTTTTTAGACTTGGTTATTTTTTGTCCAAGATTAGAAAAGGTCCAACTGGACAAAGACCACATGGTTGTGGACAGCCCAATTTACAGGACTAGCGAGTGATGCTTGTGACCGAATCCAGAGACTATGAATCTCAAGACGAGGCAGAGACTGAGCCTCTAGAGGAGTATGGTGACATTGAATACCCTGATACTGGCGAGCTCCTTGTCACAAGACGTACATTAAGTGCAATGGTGGAACCTTCCGAAACTATTCAGCGTGAGAACATTTTTCACACCCGTTGCACCATCAAAGGCAAGGTATAAAATCTCATCATTGATGGTGGGTCTTGCACCAATGTTGCCAGTGCTCACATGGTCGATAAGTTAGGCCTTGAGAGAACTAAACACCCTCGGACTTATAAGCTAAGGTGGCTCGATGACAAGGTAGAACTTAAGATCAGTGATCAAGTATCTATACCTTTTAGTATTGGTCGATATCAGGATCAAGTAATTTGTGATGTTGTTCCCACGCAAGCTGGACATTTGTTATTAGGTAGACCTTGGCAATTTGATAGAGAAACTAAGCATGATGGTAGAACTAATATGTATACCTTTGTGCATAACAAGAGGAAAGTTAGCTTAGCACCTCTCACGCCATCACAAGTGCATGACTTTCAAATGCAAATGCTCAAAGAAAAAGAAAATCATTCTAAGTCCAATTTTCTTATTCAACGTATTCATGTAAAAAGAGCTATTGCGTCCAAACACACAATGCTACTAATGATCTTTAAAGAGCTTTTGAGCGCAGGTTTTGGAGAACTCGATCTACCACCCGAAGTTGTTACTTTACTTGACAGGTTTAGGGACGTGTTCCCTGATGAGATGCCTGAAGGACTGCCACCAATAAGGGGCATAGAACACCAAATTGATTTCATACCAGGAGCCGCATTACCAAATAAGCCGGCTTACCGTATGAGCCCTGAAGAGTCTAAAGAATTGGAGAAACAAGTCAAAGAGCTATTAGACAAGGGATATGTAAGGGAGAGCCTCAGCCCGTGTGCTGTACCAGTTCTGTTGGTGCCAAAGAACGACGGGTCATGGCGCATGTGTGTCGATTGTTGAGCCATCAACAACATTACCATCAAATATAGGCACCCGATCCCAAGACTAGACGACATGCTTGATGAGCTTAGTGGAGCTACTCTATTCTCCAAAATCGATCTCAGGAGTGGTTATCATCAAGTGCGAATGAAAGAAGGAGATGAGTGGAAAACTGCCTTCAAGACCAAGCAAGGTCTTTATGAATGGATGGTGATGCCATTCGGACTCACCAATGCACCAAGTACCTTTATGCGACTAATGAACCAAGTTCTTAGAGCATACATCAGTAAGTTTGTTGTGGTTTACTTTGATGATATTTTAGTATACAGCAAATGTTTATCTGATCATGTGTCACATCTTGAGCTTGTATTAAAGACTCTTAGACAAGAGGGACTTTATGCAAACTTAAAGAAGTGCACATTCTGCACTGATAAGCTGGTTTTTCTAGGTTTTATTGTGAGCTCACAGGGTTTACAGGTTGATGAAGAGAAGGTTAAGGCAATCAAGGAATGGCCGACTCCAACAAACTTAAGCCAAGTGAGGAGCTTTCACGGCTTGGCCAGTTTTTATCGACGCTTTGTTAGGGACTTTAGCAGTATAGCCGCACCTCTCACAGCTGTGGTCAAGAAGAGTGTGGGATTCACTTGGGGAAGAGAGCAACAAGCCGCATTTGACACACTCAAGGAGAATCTCACTGAGGCACCGGTTCTAGTCTTACCTGATTTCAACAAGACCTTTGAAGTGGAGTGTGATGCATCAGGGATCGGTGTGGGAGCTGTCTTAACCCAAGGAGGCAAACCTGTAGCCTTTTTCAGTGAAAAGCTAGGAGGAGCGACGCTTAACTACCCTACATATGACAAAGAGTTATATGCCTTGGTGCGAGCCTTAGAGACTTGGCAACACTATCTCATGTCAAGGGAGTTTGTAGTGCACATAGACCATGAGACCCTCAAGCATCTTAGGGGACAGACACACCTAAAGAGGAGACACGCGAGGTGGATGGAGTTCATTGATACTTTCCCCTACATCATTAAATACAAGAAGGGAAAAGACAACATTGTAGCCGATGCCTTATCAAGAAGACATGCGCTTATTGCTACGATGGAAGCCAAAGTTATGGGGTTTAAGTTCATAAAAGACCTCTACAAAGAAGATCCCGAGTTTGGAGACAGCTTCAAGGAGTGTAATAATGGAGCCCATGGCAAATTTTATATCTTCGAAGGCTTTATGTTTAGAGATAAAAGGCTTTGCATACCGCAATGCTCACTTAGAGACCTGATCGTCCGAGAAGCACATGGAGGAGCTCTAATGGGTCACTTTGGGGTACATAAGACACTAGCTGTGGTGATAGAACACTTCTACTGGCCGCACCTCAAGAAAACCATAGAAGCTCATTGTGCAAGATTTGTAGTGTGCAAGAAAGCTAAGTCAAGAGTCTATCCCCACGGCCTGTACATACCCCTACCTATTCCGACAGCACCTTGGGTCGATTTATCAATGGATTTTGTGCTTGGGCTTCCAAAGATCAACCACAAGGAGTCAATTTTTGTAGTGGTGGACAGATTTCCCAAGATGCCACACTTTATACCTTGTGCTAAGGTGAATGATGCAACCAAGACGGCTGATCTATTCTTTAAAGAGGTGGTACGTCTACATGGAGGGCCAAGGACTATAGTATCAGACCGAGACAGCAAATTTCTAAGCCATTTCTGGAGAATCTTGTGGAAGAAGCTAGGGACAAAGCTCTTATTCTCAACGACATGCCACCCTCAAACTGATGGGCAAACCGAGGTGGTAAATAGAACTCTATCTGCCCTACTCCGAGTTACCATTGGAAAGAATCTGAAGAATTGGCTGGAGTGTATTCCTTTTATCGAGTTTTCTTACAATAGAGCTCAGCACTCGGAAACAAAGATGTTCCCATTTGAAATAGTCTATGGTTTCAACCCTACTACACCATTGGAGCTCACACCATTGCCCCCAGCTGAAGCCGTGAGTCTAGAAGGGGAACAGAAAGCTGAATTTGTCAAGAAGCTACACCTAAAGGCCAAAGAGAACTTAGAGAAAAGAACCGAGCAATATGAGAGGCATGCGAACAAAGGCCGCAAGGAGATGGTATTTGAACCTGGAGAATGGATTTGGCTACACATGCGGCATGAAAGATTTCCAAATCAAAGGAGTTCTAAGCTTGCACCGAGAGGAGATGGCCCCTTCAAGATCCTAGAGAAGATCAACAACAATGCCTACAAGCTTGAGTTACCAGGTGAGTTCAATGTGTCTTCTACTTTTAATGTATCTGATTTATCTCCTTATCTTGCAGATGAACCAGTTTTGACCTCAAAACCTCATCAAGGGGGAGGGAAGGATGAGGACATGCAACCTGAACCGGATCTAACCAAGCTTCAACTCCAAGATATCAAAGTTCCAACAATGCATGAAGGACCAATAACAAGGGCAAGAGCTAGAATACTTCAACACAAGTATAATCAAAGCCTACAGGCCGCAGTGATAGATAAGACTTTTAAGGGTCTCAGGGCTATCAATCCCCTTGTCAATGTAGTACAAAGAGGTTTATCAATCCAGATGTGGTGTTAGACACTAAGCTATATGATCAAGTTCTTAATTCAAGCAAACAAGAATAGGTTTTGATTAATCTAGAGACAACTATAAACATAAACAGGTTTAAAGACAAATGACAATGACAAATGATGTGAATATGATATGATGGAGGCATGAGATTCTAGACATGATAGTTGGTTAGGGTGCCTTGGTGTTAAACTAGAAATGCTAATGACAATGATGAGACATGATTCAAATGATTAAGAACTCTAATCTAGGTTAATCCTCTCATGAAGGTATTAACCCCTATACTAATCCATTTTCAAACCAAATTCCCATTTGTGAAACATGAATCAATATGCATTAACAAACAGCTCTTAATGATCATTCAAGCATTTAACAAATCATTCCCATGATGAAAAATTACTTAAACCTCTAACACAACTCTTTCAGGAATTTCATCAAACACTTTTGGTGCATGAAATTCCCAGAATCTAGATCTCAAGTGATTATCAAGGATTTAGCATAGAGAACAGCTGTTTAGAGAGATGAATCAATGAATCTAGCCCTAAGCACTCCTAATCTAACACTTTAGCACTCTAACCTACACATCTAGAACCTCATTAAGGTGACTACTCACTAATCATACTAATCTCTCTTAAACTTTTGCAAGTTGAGTAGATTAGCATGATTAATGATGAGAAATGGAGATGGAGATGATAGATTCAAAAGAAAACAGCTTTAAACACCCAGATCTCCTTAAACTCTCTTGATTAAACACTCAAATAAAGATATTTCTCTTCTTAATGGAGTCTTTTCACCAAAAAGGCAAGAGACAAAGGGAATAAAACTTAGTTCTCCCCCAAAAAACCCTAAAAAGTATTTATACCTTCTTAAAAACGAACCGGGTCAGCCCGGAACAAACCGGGTCCTGACCCGGCTTTAATGGATAAAGTGGGAAAAGCTGCGGGTC